ATTTATTATTAAAAAAATTATTTCATGAATTAGCTGTGGCAGTTGCTACAACCAGCATCACCTCATCTGGATTTTCCAAAACTTGGCGTTCTCCTAAATACTACATTTCCTCAACAAAATCAATAGTAATAACACATCTACGGTTGCGAAACTTAATTTTGAAGACCAAGCAAGTCGTACATCAATGAAACCTAAATAGTTTGTACCTCCTGGTAACAATTAAATCAGAACCCAACTCATACTGTCGGGCAAATCCGTGCCTCATCTGATGTATTAATTATAAACTATCAGAGAGAAGCTATGAAAGCACTTACCTCCATACTTCGTTCTACCAACGGCCCAAGTACTCGTCACATTGCCTTCGTCATTGGTAGCAGTAACACGATACATGTACTCTGTGAAGATAACGATCAATACACTTTCACGCGATCATTGCTAACTCACGACCAACATTTAGCCAACGCGTTCAATTCTGCCACCATCAGCACTGCCGCATGTATACTCACAAACCAATTAATTTGTGAAGAGCGACATTTTCTGATGTTGTCAATTTCTACTGTTAGCTTGTTAGTTAATTGCTTAACATCTAGAATGTTATTTGCATCACAATGTCACAGGAAGAAACGGGAGAATCACACAGAGTTGCAGTTTTCCTTCGTCCACAAAATTAAGAAAATTGTCTATGGAAGCCCATACAGGCCTTTCAAATAGTCACACAGCCCTAACAATTACCCACATTATCGTTACACTGCCACGCAAATCCTGCTCACACGTGTGAGCACGCATATATCACACACTCGGCCCACAATTTTCTTTCTCACATAACGCGTGCCACACGGTGAACATGCACAGTATCATCGATGCAGGGTCTACCGATCATCGATGCAGGGTATCATTGATGCAGGAATACCGCCACCGCACCGATGGCAGGTGTCATGGCCGCCCTTCCTATACTTGCTGCAGTGCCGCCGAAAACTACAACTCTAACAATACAATGGTACAATCCCGTAACGATACTACTCACCGAAAGCGGGAAAAAATCCGACTTCTGCATTAGGATTTTACCTGAGAAGAACCACTACTCGCCTTCTGTCAAAGTCCGTGAATAGTACGTATAGGAGTCCGTGTATTTTGCTACGGACAGTAATTAGCTCCGGAATATTCCGTAGCTCTCCATGCGTTTTGCACCATTTCCGTGATAGTCCGTCCGTGTTTTTGTCCGTATACTTAAGTCCATAGTGTAAAGCACAAAAATTTGACTGCTGCGTTCAGGGATTACGAGAAGTGAATGTAACTAGCTAGCTAAGAAGACTCACCTGAGAAAGATTCCAAGTCGTGATCGTAGGCTTTCGTGTCGAGTCCCTTGTAGATTTCCACTGGCTCCGGATCCATGCAATTTCTCACTGGTTCGGCCACCGATCGTGGGCAACCTTCAAGGTCGACGTTCAGAGAGATGTTTCCGCGAGTGACAAAGTTCAGCACTCTCTTCCGAAGCTGGATGTTTCTCATGCAGCCGGAGAACCCTGGAGTTGGAAACCGATCGATGGATTCACCGCGAGCGTGGCAGCCAAGCAATACTAACAGCGGGAGCTTTACTGAACAGTGGGAGTTTTCAAAGCAGCAGACAGATTACAGGTGCTGTTGCTATTTACCATCGTTTGCTGTAGCGATGGGCTGATTCCACGTAATAATGAAAGTGTCAATGACACTGTAGCTCACCACAACAAGTGCAGCGGAGCGACAGCGCTCATCTAATGTCTACTGCGGTGACT